CATTCAACTTTTTTTTATTATCAAGTTTTTGAAAGATAATTTAATTTTTTTAACAATAATTAATTGTTAATAAAAAAAATTGTGGGAGACATATTATTTTTGGTGAGCATTGTTGTTTTCCCGTGATCAAGCCTGTTAGTTTGCCTTTACTTTGCTAACATGATCCTGTTTGATGGATTATTTGAAAACATGAATCTGTTTGTGGTTGTTCAGGTTTTTGGCCTGTGAAATGATTTCGCTGTGTGATGCTATTTTATCCTTTTAGGTTTATTCTGTTTGATAATTTCCTGAAATAATTTATGATGTAATGTTGTAGTTTTATTGTTGCACCCTGACCATGGATTGCTTGCCTGTTAGGGCATCGGCTTCCTGTATAATGTTAGTTTTCCCTGTAAGCGAGCTATTTTCAATACTTGTATTCTTTATGGGTTTATTCCGGTGTCCTCTATGGTTGGGATCTGCTGGTGTTTTCAGTGGGAATTGGATGAAAATCTAGGAATTAGTGGGAAGAAAAGATTTGAGTAGTGGATAATGTTTCTCCTAAGTTTGAGGCATACTGATCAGTTAGTGCACAACAGAGCTCTCTATACAATATTATTTAGCAACAAATAACTGGGAAATCTCTCTTTGGCTCCAAACTTCTTCTGGAGTTTAAGCTTAAAGATTGTCCATCATTTGGTGGTCAAAAATCTCTTTAGAATCTCTTAGCAATGTATTCAATCTTCTCTTCAACCTTTTATTATACAGGACTAAAATGGATAATAGTATATCATGGCCTCTTTTCCTTTTGCATCTAAAGCAAAATTAAATGAGATTTTTATTCCTTTAAGATCAGGGCCTTTTCTCCTTGCATGATATGCCCCTAACTCCTATGCCTTGACCTTTCTGGGAAAGAGGATGGTGTGGGGTCTAGAATTCCGATGTTGCATTCTGTATCCAAAGAAATATAGTTGCAAATGGTATTCATAGATTTCACACTGCCTTTGATGGTTGTAGATTGTCATTGTTTCTGCGTGGAATGGTTAGATGTGTAGCAAAACTAGTGGCTAGTTGCTTATATCTTTTATCCAGAGAATCCCATTGTGCAACTTCTTTAAAGCTTCTTTCTCCAAACATGTCTTGAGAATTGAATTTTCTGGCTTGCTAAAGTCTTAACTCCCAAATCATGTGTTTTTGCTTGTAATTAAATGGCTGCTTTTTCTCTCTCTCTCTTTTTTTTCCTGTCTCAGTTCTGTCCTCTTCTTTCAACTCCCATTTTAAATCCTACTTCTATTTTTTTAACATAGGGACTTTCTTCCTCGGTTGTGATTATGTGGTAAATTCTTCCATGAATGATTAAGTTCCTTCAAATCTTTTTTTTTTGTTTCATCTTCCTGAGTATTATGTCGTTACCAGATGTCTGCGGGTAGTTGGGTATGTGGGAACTTTTTTCAATTTTCCTCTGCTTAATTTGTAGTCTTTTCATGTATGCAATTTTGCATCTATGGTGCTGCTTATGTTTCGTATGTTTATTAGTGACCCTTTTTTTTTTCCCAGTCTTGGGTGGTTAGATAGCAGTTTAAAGTAAGAAATCTGTTGCATGCATGCATTCAGCTTTTGGACCATGTCAAGTCTTTTTTATGATATCAAGGATTTTGCTGTCAAAATTTGTTTGGAAGACGAAACAGAATTATTTCTGTGGAAGATAGAATGCTAGGAGATGTTCATATTTTTAAAATCTGTCTTGTCAAAGCTTAAATCAAGTAAATTTTAGCGTGCTGAGGCAGGGAATAGGATCGAAGATCATGGATTTTGCTTTACACGTTATTTAGCTGAGGTTTCATGATGGAATAGGATCGAAGATCGTGGATTTTGCTTTACACGTTATTTAGCTGAGGTTTCATGATGGAATAGGATCGAAGATCGTGGATTTTGCTTTACACGTTATTTAGCTGAGGCTTCATTATGATATTTACATATTTGAAGTTTCATTATGATATTTACAGATTTTCTATTGTAAAATTGTGTTACGAGGGATAGAAGGTAAGGAGCTGATAAAGAGAAAAATATTAACGTTGTGGTAACTGCAACAGGTTCACTGATGACATGGGTGATGAGTTCTTGTCATTTGTGCCCTTCACACCTCCTTTCTAACATGCTGATATCACTGTGGGCCTTTTGGCGGCAGGTTAGGTTAGGAGGCTCTTGAAGTTTGTGGTTGGTGAAGATTTCATTTCGAGGATCCGTAGGGAAAACATTGGAAATGGACATACATGGTTTGCTGACAATTTCCTTTCGAGCACCATAGTTTAGGGCAGCTCTCACATTACTTGTTCTCTCTTTTATGATCCTTTAAATAGTAACCATTTCTTGTATTCTGACCAGCCTCACCGCGGCTTATAAACACTGCTTTCCAGGGAAAATTCGCCAAGTGAGCCAGAAGAGTCTTTCTCTGACATCACGTTGTCAGCCTTGTAGTTCCACGACGTCGGTTTGGCACCCTCTGCTAAACTGGCTTGGACAGAGAGATCCTACCAGTGCAAGGATATCTTGGCACCCTCTGCAATATTGAGAGTTGGTGAACTTAAGTGGCCTTCAAATTCTGACCCAAAAAAAAGTCAAAAACGTGATCATGCAAGAAACGTATAAAATTGAAATAAATTTCCTTTTCAACCCAAGAAGTTAAATCGGGAATAACTCGTTCTAACTCCTAACTCTTGTTGCTAAAATATTTTAAAAGAAGAAACGAAAAAAAAAAATTGCCTGGAGGAAAGCATTCCCAGTTATCCCAGTTTTTAAGAGATGTAAGTATGTTTGGAAGTTTAATTGTAATTGTTTTTTAAAATGTTTTTTATTTTAAAATATATTAAAATAATATTTTTTTATTTTTAAAAAATTATTTATAAAATCAGCATAATTCAAAACATAAAAAAAAATATTTTAAAAAAATTAAAACTTTTAAAAAATATAAATTGGATGGTTTTTTCAGACATCTTTTTAAACCTTAAATCAATCAACATCATTCATGAATATCTAATTTGTTCCTATTTTTTGCTAAAATACAACAAAAATAATATGAATAAAAACAAATCTATCAATTAACATAACTCTTTGATAAGATTATCGTATAAAAATATTAACATGGTAAATGTTTATTTATTTATTACTGCTTAGATTATCCTAGACATCCTGAGAGTATTGATAGATAATATAGATGAAAGAAATTCATGGATTTATAATAAAACATGCGAGTATATAACTCTATGATTACAAAGCCCTTGACTTCAATGATAAATAAGATTAATTATAAATTAAATACTCGTGTAAATCAGGGATATCTTATTAATAATTTAATTATATATTTGAGAAAAAAAAAAGTAGAGAACAATCGACCACCGTCCAACGTGTGGAACATAAATATATTATATTAACTAAATATTGCTCATTTTAACTTGAAATTAGGTAAAAAAATTAGCAAAATTCCACCAGGAGGACTTTTTGAGTCTTTGACAATGGAGGCTTGGGTTTCTTTTTCTCATGTGTGGCCAAATGTCAAAGCTTATCAGATGCATCAAATTGACTGCAAATACAAGGCACTTGTTTTTTATATATATATAGTTGATCAGAGCAGAGAACGATTCCAACGTATGCAACAAATCTTTCAAAGTAAGGCTTGATATCTGTGTTAATTTAATCCTTGACATGTTCTTTAACCATCAAGAAACCACTTCGAAATTAATTGTAATTGATTATTTCTTGTTCGGAGGCTTCAATTCTCCTGTTCTAGCATCTCCACTTCTCGTTGAGTTTTCACTCTGCAGGCTAAGAGTATTGGGTTTTGCCAGGAGATACATAGCTTTGTCTGTATCTCCTTTTGATTTTGAAAATTATTTCGAAGATATATTTATTTTTATCTTTTCAACCAACCAACCATGTTTGAGGTTTTCTTTACCCTGAAATTAATATCAACCGAAGACAAAAATATAAAGTAAAAACATTAGGTCAAGGCTTGAAAAAATAGACCTAGAACAGTTTTCAGTGGACCTTGATCATGTAGAGCTAGTCTCCAAACCAAATGTTGCCAAAGTCATTTGAATGTGTAGACTAACAATAAAATGTTTGAGCCTCTGAATGACCCTTTATTTTGGCTGTTTAAGAAATTCTGATTATGACCATTCTTTTAATGCATTATTCGTGTTCTTGTTTAAATCTTCTTCTTCATGCATCTCCTCTACTCATTACCAAAGAAAATCAATATTACGTGATGGACCCACATCCCATATTCTAGATGTTTTGATTTTATTTCTTATCAAGAAGCTTGAATGATTATGCAGAATATAATAATAATGTTTTTTAAAATGTTTGTGGATCAAGAAGCTTGAATGATTATGCAGAATACAATAATAATTGTTTTTTAAAATGTTTGTGGTTTAGAAATATATAAAAATAATATTTTTATTATTTTTAAAATCATTATTTTTGATTCATCTAAAAATATAAAAAACATTAAATTTCTATGAAATGTTGTTCGGAATGAAATCCAAACTGTTCGGTAGACTCTGATTTCTCTCTTTTGATTTTTTTGTCCGCTCGACAGCCTAATCTGGCCTTGCTTTATTTAAGAATGGCCAAACCTAAGCTTGGTTGAGGATAATGATGTCATAAAATAGAAAGAAGAAGGAGCAAATTTGAGACCTGTTCAATTTATAATACAATGAACCTTCTGTTACATGACAATCTAGAAGGAAGAGAGAGAGATTTAATGTTTTCTACTTTGTTTGATTTATTCAACTATGATAAAGACCGACCATAGACAATAAATAAAACGCAAAGAGAAGAAAAAATCTGCAGAATTGATCCTTTCTGCCTACACAGAAGCTTCTATCAAGTTAACTTTCCTGTTCTATTGAATAGAGAAAAAAACAAGAAATAACCATCAAAATGTGACGTGTCTTTATGTTAATTCTATTTGTTTGGATTCCAAGAAAACTTCCAAGTCTTTGTGATCTCTTATAAATACGCACCTCATTAGGTACAGATAGCACGGTACCTCCTCCAGCATACACTGCAAATCACTTGTTCTCTCAGAGTTACAAATGCCTTTCTCTAAAGCTCTTACTTTTGTAACCATGCTTCTTGTGGTGCTACCTATGGTTGCTATGGCAGATATTGATGGCAACCTGACTGCTTTCTATGGTACACAACACTCTCTATCCTGTACTTCCATGCACACACAAGCACGGGTAAAATCTTGGATGTATGATTTGTTCTTTGTGAATTGCAGACAGGTTGTGTAAAGAAGTGGATTGCGGAAAAGGAACATGCGTAGGAGACACATCATACCCATTGAGCTACAAGTGTGAATGTGAAGCTGGATGGAAGCAAACCCAATACGATGACGATGATGTTGATGATGAACACAAGTTCCTCCCTTGCGTGATTCCAAACTGTAACCTCCTTTTCTTTTCGGCTTTCTTTTCTGAACTTCATTCAGGGACATGGTACATGCAAGTAGCAGAACATGACATGTTCTGATGAATTAAAAAGACAGATTTTGTACGTAATTTTACACATTCAAGTAAACTTGGTTCATTTTCTTGTTTTTTTGCAGGTACTCTGAACTATGGCAGCTGCCAGCCAGCCCCACCTCCAGTTCCACAAAAAGAAGCTCCCCACAACAGCTCCTTCTTCGATCGTAATCACCAAAACCAAAGACCTTTATTCACATAATAAGATTCAAAAAATACTGCAGTCCTGCCTGATACCAAAGACCTTTATTCACATAATAAGATTCTAAAAAATACTGCAGTCCTGCCTAATATCCTCTCTCTCTCCCCCTCTCTCTCCTGCCACTAATTTTCTGTCCTGTTGATCATGTAGCTTGCTATTGGATGTACTGTGGAGAAGGTCAATGCACAAATAATGGAACATATAGACACACGTGTACTTGCAATCCTGGTTTCGTTAATCTTCTCAACATCTCTTACTACCCTTGCTACAGTGCATGTAAGAACTTTTACATGAAGTTTTAGCAGTGAATACTGATGGTAGATCAAAGAAACAAACTTTAAAAACTGATCTGTGCTATGGTTTTGGTTGTCAAGGTACTCTCGGATCTGATTGTGCTGACATTATTAGAATCGCAAACTCAACATCAACTGGAACCGGAACTGGAACCGGTGGAAATCCAGGTGAGAATGCAAACCAAACATATCACCCAGTCGTCGTAACATAAAAGATGTTATTTCAGATCTTGATGATTTCTAATCTATTTTTGTTATCCAGCTAGCACCATTCTTCCAGCAAAGTTCCAATGGATGATTATTTTGCTCGCCTCTATGCTTATGGCTCTGATGTAGGATGAGAATTGAACGAGGATCCTGGCTAACCAGCTTTTCAGTTTCGTGATACTTGATTATACTCACTAGTAAATTTCATTTGGTGCATCTTTCGTTTGATCATTCACCAGATTCTTATGTAGAAATTCAGTTTGTATGCGAATGAAAGTCGGAACACAGACCTAGATGGAGGATGAGCGTTGTCTATGCAACACTACGTGATCCATTTGGTTTTTATGTAGTTGTATTGATTATTTATTTATAAATAACTGAGCTTGTGAAAAATATTTATCTATTCTTCTCTTTGGATTCAAGCTATCCACATAGATATAAAGCAACAAGATCCAAGTAGCTTCTGGGACGAATCCTATTTGTTAAATCGCCATTTAGTTTGATGATTGATAATTCAAATAACATGGCAACGTCTACATAATTTGGCCACAAAACTTAAACACCGAGTACTAGTAACAAGCTTGATGATTGATAATTCAAATAACATGGCAATGTCTACATAATTTGGCCACAAAACTAAACACACCGAGTACAAGTAACAAGCTACACACATGCCTTCTGCCAAGTGTGATTTTTCCTATCCGTTTCTGCACAAGACAGGCTTCTGTATTAGGTGCAAGCAAGTCCTTGTTAAGCAATCAAAATTCAAGACTTGTGTTATAAATGGAATGGATAAAGGAGCCACAGCCTCAAAGCACATCGCCACTAAAGCGTTAAGTCTAGGCTGGCCGAGAAAAACAAAATTATACTACTAAGGCTGCTCATTTCTAATCCATAGTTCACGTTTGATTCGAGGGGGAAACGAACTGCCTCTTGAAACCACACAAGATGTTTCTCCAAATGAACGATCCCAAAACATTAAGACTATAGGATGCTATCGGAGTGAGTGATAAAAAAAATCAACTCTAACAATCTTGTAATGCTTCCACGCCAAAATTTGCTCATTGGTGATTGTACATCTGACAACAAAACAGTCGATATTGCCAAGCTTTCCCCTCACTGCTCAACACAATAAAATGAGATTCAAAGATGGTATAGATTCATAATTGATCCCAGATCTACAGACTACACTTGAATTGAAGTTTGCTAGGGATTCCACTTTACAAAAGCATACGTACCGCGCAATAGCAGCACATACCAGTCACTGACGCATAACCAGAACAATGAGCTGTGTTAAAGTCACTGTACTATCTACCTGGGAAAACACGTGGAACTCGATTTGTATTACATTGCAGGCAGGAGACTCCAACACGACATAGGATATTCACTTCATTGTGCCCTGGCTTCCTCTCTAAATATTCTAAAAGCAGGAATATATAGATAGAATTATATTCAAACTTCTGTAAACCAGCATCATGATTGAGCTATAGATACCTCTCAAATATTATTTATGAGCTTCTGTGAGACCATAACCATCTCGGTATCGTTCCCTAATACCTCTATACAACTATTAGAAGTTAGGGTTTCAAATGTACCCAGTTAGCCTTTTCATCTGTCTCCCGAAATCTTTTCACCCAAGCATCTACAAGTCCTCCTTTCCGTACTCTTCAGGCTTTGAACTAATTGATAGAACTAGACCTATGCTGTTTGCCCATTTGATGCACCATCAATCCATTACTGTTTTTGAGACTAGAATGCAAAGTATAAATAGTCACTTGAGAGCCAAAACACATCCCCTGTTCCCCTGGAAACTGCTATTACTAGAGGAACTAAATAAACCTGTTGCATACCTGAGAAACATGTTTATGACACGCCACTGCTCATGCAATTGAGACGCCAATTAACCTAGTGGTTTCCTTTTCAGCATGGTAGATTAGCATCATTAACAATGTAAAAGAAAAGATGGAAACCGTCTAAGATGTTGCTTGAGCACTTTCCTTTAAAAAACAAAATACTTCACTGCAGAACAACAAGAGAGAGCAACCCATAAACTAATACTTGGGCACTTTTACTCCAGTTGTCCTTACCAATGCACTTGCTATTGCCAAATTGCCAGTAGAACAGTACAGACCTTAAGGTTTCAATGGAGTTGAGTTTCCCATCTTCTCGCTCATAGACAGCACAGTCAAAGGGGATAAAAAAGGCATTGATGATTTTTTACATACAAGGGAATGCATTGGCACAAATTAAACCCTGTTGATTATAAATAACAAGACGCGAAGAAACAATATTATTACAGGTAATCCAATTATTCATCCCAAAATCAAAACAAGGTGGCAATAACCATGAAACCAATTCATTCATTTTGATCATTTCACATTTCCATTCCTAAACTATAGAGAGAAGTAACAAGAATACCCAATTCATTCATTTTGATCATTTCACATTATTTCACTTTTCCATTCCTAAACTATAGAGAAAAGTAACAAGAATATCCAACTAGAGTCCGAACAGCTCAAATTCACCGCAACAAAAATAATGAACAACAACAGTGTCAATATAACAAAACCATCATATAACACAAGATTCGAAATTCTCACTTGCTTTTAACCTCAACTCCTGTCTTCCCAGCAATAATAACCGCAGTCGCCATATCCAAAAACAACCCATGTTCCACAACACCTTCAAGCCCCGAAATTTCCTTTCCGGCTGCATATCCATCTTTAATCGGATTCTCAAAATACAAATCAACTATATAATTAAAATTATCGGTCACATAGGGCTTCCCATCTTCACCAACTCTCAATTTAGCCTCAACCCCTTCATCTTTAAACAACTCTTGTAACCTCACCAAATTAAATTTCCAACAAAATTGCACTCCTTCAACTGGCATTGCCAGTTTACTTCCACCAAGACCATCAACAAGCTTAGTCTCGTCAGCAACAACAACAAACTCATCTGATGCTGCTTCAACCATTTTCTCTCTTAAAAGGGCTCCGCCGCGACCCTTCACTAAATTAAGTAGTGGGTCCACCTCATCAGCCCCGTCAATGGCAAGATCAATGTGGGGGTGGTCATCGAGTATTGAAAGAGGGATGTTAAGAGAACGAGCCTGTTCTTCTGTGCGTTTTGAAGTTGGGACTCCAATGATATTTGTCAGTTCACCGGTTTTTAAGAGCTCGCCGAGCTTGGCTACCACGAAGGCGGCGGTAGAGCCGGTTCCAAGGCCGAGGACCATACCGGATTTGACATACTCGACGGCCTTGTCTGCTGCGATCTTTTTAAGGTCGTCCTGGGTGAGGACCGGGGCGGATTGGGCTTTAAGGGAGAAGATTTTGGTTGGAGCGCGGAGGTTAAGAGAGGGTGTGCGTAAGAAGAGGCGGGAGGAGGAAGAGGTGGTGTTGTGGAGGGAGGAATGAGAGGAGGAGGAAGGAGGGGAGAGGAAGGATAAGGAGGCCATGGTAGGTGGTGGTGGTAGAGGGATTGAGAAATGAGAGGTGGTTTTGTTTTTTTGTTTTTTTATGGGTTTGTTCAATCTTAGTTCAAAGTGGTGTGGTTGTTATAAGTTTGTTCGTACTCGTGGAAAGAAACCAGGAAGACAGAAGACTTTATTGCTGCATTTATTTTTTTTATTTTTTTTTTTGAGGTTGTTGGATGAGGTTGTTGGTGGAATGGAATTCCATCTTTTTTCTAGATGGTGCAATAATTTTATGCTATCAAGGGTGTGTTTGATGCCTTGGTGGTTTTGATAATATTTTATAAAATTTTGGATTTTTTAAGTTTAAATTAATATATTTTTAATATTTTTATATTATTTTAATATATTGATCTTAAAAATAAATTTTTCGTGTAAAAATATATTAAAAATAATATTTCTTATTATCTTAAGCATCATCTAAATAAAAGGATAAAAAAATTTAAATTTAATTTTTTTAGGGAGTGAAGGTACAAAGAATATGATGCTAAAGTAGAAGATGGGATACCGTAATAGGTCTAAAGAGATATAATGGATCTCTACTAGTAGCGTTGCTCGATCGAAACTGTGGTAATGGATCTCTACTAGTAGCATTGCTTGATCGAAACTGTGGTACGGTGCTGACTGGTTTAATTTTTTTCCGGCATGAAAAAAATATTATAGGATGATGTTAATGTCACTAAAAAAGTAAAAATAATTTAAGACTTAATTATTGATTTGACTAATTTTAATCAATCCGGTTAATTTAAATAATATAAATACAAAATACAAAGTAAAATAAAATTAACCAAAAATAATAATAATGTAAAAAATCTTGCTCGAAAAGCAAGGATATCTCTTATATATTAATCCATGTCAGTCACGAATGATCTAATATGTTTTTTAATACTACTTAATATTTTTTAAAATATTAAATTGCACTTGTATCTACTTATTAATTATATAAAAAAAATGTCTTAACACAACACTAAGGATATTTGAGTTTAAGAGTAATTTAATAATTTTAATTTTCAAATTAAAATAAGATTATGAAAAAACCCTAGTGGCAAGTTAATTGAATTTTTCTTTCGAGGACCATTTATTAGTTTTACCGTCCGGTAAGAATAAGAGGTGATCGAGATGGCCCCATATTATTTTGATAATGACAAACTGATCCCAAAATAAAATCATATTACCGCTAAGCCAAGCATGTGGTTTTGTTTTAGGAGGATAGAATGGTCATTTTATAACGTGAATTTATTAGCATAAGCATGATAAATCTCAGATAGTTTTAGCTTTTGTTTTAATAAATATTCAGTAATGCAAGTCAATAAAAATAAAATATAATGGATCTGATAAATCTAATATTATATAGTTGGAAACTATTTTTATGGAGGGGATATTAGCCGGTCAGGAAGAGAGATTTTGGTCTGGTTTGCATGTTAACATTGAATATAAAATTCTTTGTGCTTTGAATGTTTTGATTGAGCATGTTTTATATTTTATTTAAAAAAAATTAATTTTTTTATTTTTATTTTAAAGTAATATTTTTAAATTATTTTAATATACTGATATCAAAATTATTTTTTAAAATTATTATTTTAATATATTTTAAAATAAAAAATATTTAAAAAATAATTACTATCACACTTCTAAATATCTTATTTTAAAAATAAATAGGTAGATTTATCCGAAGAAAGGTAATAATAATATATCACTAAACTTATAATAATAATAATAATAACTTTAAAAAACTCTCTTCTTCATAAACAACTCATCAAATATTTTTTTTATTTTGATCATATTTTTCTATACATAAAAAACAATAAATTGCTTTTCAGAGAAGGGCCGTGATACAAATGGGGCCTTCCTTCATTGATCAAGGAAGTCCCTTCGGAGTTGAGACGCAAGAAAAAAGTGCCCTTTTTTCGTTTGTTGAAGGGCAACAC